TCTACTCACTCATCCACCTACTCGCTCACCTACCCACCCACCCACTCACTTGTTCACGCACTCACTCACTGCCATTTCCTGAACACCTACTGTGTGCCCAGCACTGTGCTAAGACAGAGGTGCCACATGAGCCAGGCCAGGTCCCTCAGGTGATTACAGCAGTGGGTCCGTGGGGACATTTTCAGGGGAACAACACCTGCACTGGTGTTGGGGCGAGACCTGGAGGTCCAGTAGTTGGACGGGGGAGAGAGGGCCAGAGTGTCCCTGTCGGAGGACGGGCATGTGCAAAGGCCCAGGGGTGAGTGAGGCTGAAAGGAGCACAGACGGTTGACACTTGGTGGGAAGTCAGGGAGGTGGAGACCAGGCTGGCGTCTCAGAGCTAGGTCCCGCGGGACCTTCTAGGCGTGGAAAGAGCTGGATTCCCGCTCAGGCTGCTGAGATCTGAGAGCCGGGAGCAGGGTCTCCTGGGCCTTAGGGGAAGGACCCATTTCTGAATGTCTGTCAGGATCTGGCTTGGATGAATCAGGCACTGCTTGCTGAGATGGAGGTGTGACAGGAGGACTACTTCCCACCTCGTAAGGTTCCGAGGAGGCGCCGCTTCCTTCCGCAGGGAGGACGGTGATGGGGACCAGGGAACACAAACGTCATGTCCTCAGGAATGGACTTCCCTTCACTCTCCCCTCCTGCTGTCCTGCCCCACTCCTCCCCCATCGAGGCCTTGCCTCTCCCCTGGACGCCTCCTCCTGCCACCCAGCTGTCAGCCAGGTGCCTCTCAGTGAGCCAAGGGGGCTGTCCCTGCCTCTATGCTGGGGGCCTGATGGATCTCTGCCCCCGGCCTCTCCCAGGGCACCATTGGAAGGGGCTCCGTCGTGGGGGCACTCACGTCCTCTCTCCGCCCCTCTTCCCCCTCTCCTAGGCGACCTGGAACAGAAAATCCTGCAGGTGCTGCAAGAGGCTGGCTCCCCCGTGAAGATTGCCCAGCTGGTGAAGAAATGCCAAGTGTCCAAGAAGGAGCTCAACCACGTCCTCTACCGAATGAAGGCGGTCACCTGCACAGGCCCTGCGACCTGGTGTTTGGGAGGGGATGGGACTAGAGACGTGGTTCCCACGGAGCCGGCGGAGCCGGGACCCAGCTGCGGTTACCGGCCTTCGGAGGAGGCAGGTAGGACCTGCCCAAGCCCAGATTCGGGCCCACAAACCTGGCTTCACGCCAGGCTCTGCCACCCTCCCAGTGTTCTCTCGCTCAGCCTTGATTTCTGTTCCCGGCCAATGGAGATGAGAACGAGGCCACTTCACAGGGCTGCCGAGAGGGTTACACGCAGGGCTCAGCCCAGTGCTGGCACTGACCAGGTGCCCAGCAAAACGTTCATAATAGTAATGGAAAATTACGTTGTTGTTGTTAGAGGCTGTGGAGGTGACTCTGACTCATGGCGACCCCAGGTGTGCAGAGGAGAACTGCTCCATAGGGTTTTCAAGGCTGTGACCTTTTGGAAGCAGATTGCCGGGGCTTTCTTCCAAGCTGCCTCTGGGTGGGTTCAAACAGCCAACCTTTTGGCTAGTAGGTGAGCACTTAACCATTCACGTCACCCAGGGACTCTTACGGAATATAATAATGATACTAATAAAGCCAACAGTAATAGAACAAAGTTAGTTTCACACTAAAGACCCATTGCTGTCAAGTTGATTCTGACCCATAGTGACCTGCAGGACAGAGTAGAGCGGCCCCATAGGGTTTCCAAGGCTGCGAGCTTTTACGGAAACAGACTGCCCCATCTTTCTCCCGTGGAGTGGTTGCTGGTTAGAACCGCCGATCTTTCAGTCAGCAACCAAGTGCTTAACCACTGCACCACCAGGCTTTCCTAGAAAAAGAAAAACAAAAACAAAAATACCAAACCCACCGCCGTTGAGTCCATTACAACTCATAGTGACCCTATAGGACAGAGAAGAACCGCCCCGGATTTGAACTACCAACAACCTTTTGGTTAGCAGCCGAGGGTGCTGTGCCCAGGCGTTTGTGGTCATTTGACTTGATCCTCTCTGCAACCCTGGGAGGGAACTATTCTTCTGTTCTATCCTGTTCTATTTTACAGAAAAGAAATCTCCCCCAGGAAAACACTTCCTATTCTACAGAAAAGGAAGCTGAGCCATCTGACCCATCTTTCTTTCTCCAGCCCAGAAGTCCCTGCAAAATGCAGCCACCATTCCCCAGAGCACTGGGTCCCCACTCGGTGAACAGCGGCGTAAGTAGCTTCTTTTCCTCTCTCACCTGGGACACGGGCCCAGTTCTCCCAAGCCCTCCCAGGCCGCTTGAGATCTTAGGACTGCTCAGGGGCCATGTTCCACCGCCACAAGGTCCTCACAGTGTTCAGAGGCAAGACTCAGTCTTTGCAATGAAGAATTTAAATGGTCAAGGAATTATTTCTTCCATCAATACTAGTTGCCATGAAGTTGACCCTGACTCATGGCAACCCCGTGCACATCAGCATAGAACTATGCTCCACAGGGTTTTCAGTGGCTCATTTTTCGAATGTAGATTGCCAGGCCTTATTTCTGAGGCGCCTCTGGGTGGACTGGAACCTCCAACCTTTCAGTTAGCAGCTGAATGCATTAACCGTTTGTGCCACCCAGGGACTCCTCTTGGATCAACAGTTAACATTACCTGTGGGCCTACTGTGCGCCAGGCACTGTGCAAAGCACTTTATGTCCATTGCACATCGACTTCAGAACAGCCTCTGTGGTGCCGTATTATGACACCCATTTTACAGGTGGGGAGACTGGTCACAGAGAGGTGGATCACTTGCTCGAGGTCACAGAGCCAGTGGGTGCTGGAGCAAATCCAGAGCCCAGGGCCCTGCTAACCACCGGCCTCCCATCTTCCAGAGAAAGCGATTTACACGCTGCTGGCTGCCAACGGGCCCCGGGACGCCCTGAGCATCGCCCGCGCCCTGGGAATGAAGACAGCAAAAGATGTCAACCCAGACTTGTACGCGATGAGGAGCAAGCACCTCTTAACCCTTGACCAGAACTCAAAGTCATGGGCAGTTTATCGACCAGGTAGGCCCTCACCCAATGCCCGAAGTTGGACCAGGGCGGGGGTCTGAGCTGTGGAGGAAACCACTACCCTCCGAGGTCTTTGCTGGACACCCTGTCCATCTGCCTTGTTAGACATGCCCCAGCTGTTCCAGGAGGTTCCAAGAGGGCGGGTGTGCTGGGGGCAGCAATCAGGGAGGGCTTCCTGGAGGCATGGCCCGAGGCCTGCAGTTGCAGAAGCGGAGAGGTGGGGAGAGGAGGAGACCCATTCCCAACATTATACCTGGGGTGCAGGGGGTCAGTCTGAGCTTGGTGGTGGGTCTCACTGAGTGCTTTGCCCAATGCAGGGTTTTTAAGTTGCCAGAAGAGAAGGTGAGGCTGGGCTCAGGGACCCAGAGGGTGGAGTCCCACAGCCAACTTGTCGCTCAGACATGGCACTTTTAGAGGTCCATGCAAATGTTTTAATTTCCTTTAAAATCAGAAGAAAAAAAAATAATGTTATAGTAATAATGCCTATCTAATAATGAATCCAGCCTGGATTATATTCGTCTTTATAGAGATACCGTCATAACATGTACTTTTAAACACCGTTTTGTAGAAGAAGGGTCCCATGAAGGTCTCATTGCAGCCCTGTGGGGTTGCCAAAGCCCAGCAGGTGCCCCCTGCCCATGTTGGGCTGACCCCCGGCTCGTGGAGCCTCAGGGGGTCTCAGCATCCTAAGAGAGTTGTGAGAAAGCAATGGCAGTCAGATTTTAAACACTGGTGATGAACCTGAATCCTTAAAAGTGCCGTGCGAACCAAACAAAGTGTATCGGTTGCCAGATGTGGTCCAAGGACCGCCATCTTGCAGCCACTGCTGAGGGAGAAGGGGCCTTGGAGCTCAGGGGTCAGGGCTGTGCCTGCCTGGCAGGGACGGTGAGTGGGGGCAGTGGCTTAACACTCCTGCAGTCCCCCAGCTAGCAGTATGGTGGCCTGGCCATACGGGTGGCAGAGCACACAGGAAGGGTGAGCTGTCATGGCGATTCCCAAGCAGCGCTCCATCCTCAGATGGAGCTGCATTTGTGAACCATGCTGGTTTCAGGTCCACCTTGGCCCAAATGACTCAGAGCCCCCATGGTGGGGGCCTGGGAATCTGTGTTTTAGTAAGTTCCCCAGGAGATGTTCGTGCCGCCAACTGGTATTTACAACCCCTGCCCCCTAGAGAGGTGCAAATGGATAGCGTGAAATATTATTATTATTATTTTAAATCATATTGTGTTTTGGTGAAGGTTTACACAGTAGTTTCTCATTCAAGTTTCTACACAAATTGTTCAGTGACATTGGTTGCATTCTTTACAATGCATGAACATTCTCCATATTTTCATTCTGGTTGTTCTATTTCCCTTAATCTAGTCTCCTTGCCCCCTTACATTCTCATCTTTATTAAAGTAATTGTTGACCATTTGGTCTCATAGAGATGATTTTTCTTACAGGAACATGGTACTCACAGGTGATAGTCTTTATTTTGTGAGCCAATCTGTTATTTAGCTACAAGGTGACCTCAGGGGCTGAGTCAAACATTATTTTGCAGAAGATTCCGGAAGGAAAAATCAGTTCACTAAAAATATTTACCAGCAAAGTACAGTCAACATGTTCATCCAGACTGGACCCAGTGGCACCATTTCCATTACTAATTCTAAAGGCATCCAGATTGGATCCGCTAACATGATGCAGAAACACACGGCCTCTGGGAAGAGTGGTAAGCCCTCTACACCCAGGGAAGGGGACCTGGAGGGGCACCTGCTCCCCCTGAGGGGTAATGGGCGGTGGTGTAGGTTTAACTCTCTGAAGAGAAAGGGTGGCTTTCGGGTTTCCAAGGACCACTTTTATGGCCTGGTCCTGGACTTGTCACCCAATGAGCAAGTCCTTCTTTGTGCCTAGATCAAACCTCTCCTGCTTTCCTTCCACTCTGATACATTTGCTTCATTTTATATTTTTCCCATGACAAATGGAACTCAATCCACTCTCCCCCAGCAAAATGTCACAGAGGATTCTTATATTTTATTTGTCCCAAGACACACTTTTTTTTTTCCACGTTTTAACATCTTGCAAATAGGGATACATCTTACGCGCAGTGGCATCCTAGTTTTGATGAAACACAGTCCTGCAAATTAAGTGCCTCCTCTGTACCAGGCACTGTGGCTGGAAGGCACAGGGCCATCTGTCTGTCCAGTCATGCGATGAGGCTCAGGAAAGCCCTTCCTTATGCCGGGCCTCAGTTTCCCCAACTCTGAAGAGGGACTTTGTTCTAGAATCTAGGTCAATGGTTTCCAAATGTTAGTCCTTTATGGATCACGTTCTCAACTTTGGCCATGCCTATGTCTGATTATTTACTTCATGTTTTTAAATGGTTTGTCTTTTTATTTTACTCAAATATCTCTTAAAATAAAATTTCACATCATTACCTTAAACTGAAAACCACGAAGCCCAGGCTAGGAAAACAACGAGGTCGTAACTCTGCCTCGTCAGAGGCTCTGCGGGCTCGCTGTCCAGAGGCGTCGCTGATACCTCAGCACCGAAGGAGACGTTCCCCTCGGTCATGTCAGAGGACTGACCTCTGCAGCAGAACGAGGCTCCCACCTTTGGGGACACTCATCCCCTGACTGTTCCGCTCTGTCCCTGTGCCCTCCAGTCTCAAGTCTGACCTCATGGCACTTTGAACCGCTTCCTTCTGGTTCCTTGCTGAGAATTTGCATTTCCACCCCAGATGTACTGAATTGGAATGTACATTTTGAACAAGATCCCCAGGTGATTCTTATGTATAACTTCCTTGTTAGAAATGCAAATTCTCAGCAGGGGTTTGAACCGAAATGAATCAGTTTGAAGCCCCGTGACGTCAGTGGCTCCCACTCTGATGGTGTCTAGGGAGAATTCAGATCCCAGGCTCCCCCAGCTGGCAGGGCTTTGTGTGTAGGCGTGTGGGGGTGTCAGACAGCAGGGACATCTGGAGTCCCCTCCAGGAGGGCCATACTGCTGCTTCCCCTGCCAGGCTCCACGGCTCCCCCTCGCCCCCCTCCAGTGGCACCAGATGATCCCTCAATGCAGGAGGCCCCGGCCGGTGACTGGGGACCCCGGGATATCCATGTGGTACACTGCAGACAGGTGCAGCTGGGACATCACAACACCATGACCCTCCACGGCCCCCTGGACAAGAGCCCTGTCTGCACCCCCACAGGAAGCCCCCCAGGTAACCTGCCTCACCCCCACCCCAATCCCCCTCACTGGAAGGGTCTTGAGCTGGAGTCTCTGGCTGACGGGAAATTCCTGTCCTTCCACCAGGAGGCCACACCACAGAGTACAGCAAGTGGGGCTTCTAGAGCCTGCACTCTGGGTTCCCATCCTCCACGACCCACCTCGGGACCTCAGTTTCCTCATCTGTAAAATGGGCGTGGCCTCCCTGGAAGCAGGGGTGGGGAGGCGGCTACAGTTGGGAGCACGGAGGACAGGAGCCAACCAAGGGATCTGGTGCCCTGTAAGCGCCGTGGCTACTCAGTGACCACGGGGGTCTCAGTCCTCTGCTGCCCTGGGGATCCAGACATGGGCTGGGGGAGAGAAACAGAGAAGAGGCCCGCAGAGGAAAGGCCCGGGGGGAGGAGGAAAGCCAAGGACGCCCCAGAAGCCACAGCCCTGGAGGTGGAGCTGGCGAGGAGGGCAGTTGCTGGGAGTGAGGCTGGCCAACCAGGGGCAGAGAGGGGGCACCCCAGGCGGGCGATGGCCATGGCTGGGCGGTGGGGCAGTGACTCCCTGGGTTGTGGGCTGAGTACAGTGTGGGCTGCAGGCAGAACGTTCAAGGGGGAGAGTCCACAGAGGGCTCATGAGCCAGGAGAGGGTCAGGACTCCAGGGCCATCGCCCAGCTGACCCCTCCCTGGCATCTGTCTCTTTGGCCAATCCACAGTTTCTGCCACCCCTAGCCCAGAGGCCTCATTGGAAGTGCAAATGCCCAAATGAGGACCTCACTCAGAGGGGGACGAGGCCGAGAAAGTCCCCATCAAAGCGTGCCTCCTTGAGGACACAGCCATCAGCAAGTTACAAAATAATCCTCGGCTCAGCTGGTCTGAAAGGAGACAAGAAGGATGACCCTGGGGAGCCGGGAGAGGATGAAAGTGAGCCCGGGGCCACAGTGGACCCCTGCGTGTTCTCTCTCTCTCTCATTCATTTGTTCATTCATTCAACAATCATTCTCTATCTCCTGTTTCCTGGAGGCTGGGAGGCAGCATGGGGTGACGGCAGACAGCAGGAGTTCTGGAGTCAGACTGTCCACGGCCAAATCTTTGTAGCCGAGTGACCTAGCCCCGGGTCACTTAGCTCTCTGTAAAGTGAGGATGAGAAGAACAGCCTGGCCCTCCTGTGGTTGCTGCGAGGATACGCAGGCCCAGTGCTGAGCCCATACCTGGTACAGCGGGTATGTTCAAGCAGTGGGAGCTACTGGGTTCTCGTCATCATCGTTCTAGGCCTCCAGAGAGGCACTGGGATCCACAGCAGATGAGGCTCTGTCTCGGGGATCAGGCTAGCCTGCTGCAGCAGAGACCCCAAACGTGTGGTCTCCCCTGCTCCACACTCAGTTCTCTCTCAGGTCCATGCGAGGGGGCAGGCCAGGCTGCCCCCTGACATCATCCACAGAGCCCTGTTCCTTCTACCATGTGCTCGGCCATCCCTAGGCCTCTGTCCCTGTCCATGGGCTCGAAGTCGGCACCAGCAAGGAGAGGGACAAGAGGGTGTAGCGGGCCAGCAATCCCCCTCTTACGAAGCCCACCAGCACTTCCGCTCAGAGCTGCGAGGGTTGTAGGAGATGCAGTCAGAGCCAGGTGGCCGAGCCAAGCTGGGGCCCCAGGAGGGCAGAACAACTTGGAGAGCGATCCTCATGTAATTCTTGCCCAGCCTCAGTAGCTGCCCAGGGGCTGCTCAGGCTAGCTGCAGAGCCAGGGAGTTCCATGTGCCTGAGGAGGGGGAGCAGGGGCCGCAGAGGCAGAGGGTGACGGTGGCAGTGGGAGGGTGTATCTGGCCTGCAGAACACAAAGTCAACAACCTGGAGGTGACAGACTGATGTGTGGGTGTGGGGACCAGCAGGGTGCACCCAGAGGTGAGAGACTGATGTGTGGGTGTGGGGACTAGCGGGGTGCACCTGGAGGTGAGAGACTGATGTGTGGGTGTGGGGACCTGTGGGGTGCACCCGGAGGTGAGAGACTGATGGCGTGGGTGTGGGCGTGGGAATCAGCGGGGTGCACCCGGAGGTGAGAGACTGACGTATGGGTGTGGGCGTGGGGATCAGCGGGGTGCACCTGGAGGTGAGAGACTGACGGTGTGGGGACTAGCAGGGGTGCCGCTGTGAGTGGAACTTGCCTGAGGGAGGCAAGTCAAAGGCCCTGAGAAGGGAATAAGGTTGGCATGCTCAGAATCACCGCCTGGGGGCAGGGGACAGACCTCCTGCCCAACCGGACAGAGCCCGTGGGTTGGGGCAATGAAGACACTGGGGACAGGTCAAAGGGGGCCTGGGGAAGGCAGGAGCGCCTGCAGTGGTCTAGGCAGAGAACTGGCATGGGGGAGGGGATGCATGGTCAGGCTACCTGGCAAACCCGTGAGTGGGGACAAGTGGCTCGGCCCCCAGTTAATAAGAGGCCTGATGGTTCCAACGTCCCTTTGTCATCCTCCCTTCCCCCAGATGCTGGTTTCGCGCGATGTGACAGTGATTTCCCCGGCGACGTCGGTCAGGCTGCCCCTGGCATCATTACGACACTCAGCTCCCAGATGGACACCTTGAGTTTTGGAAGAGAGGATCCCACACCTGCAGAAAACAGAGCCCCCACGGAGGGAAACTAGTAGGAGGTGGGATGAGAACAAGCAGCGGCCAAGGGAGTGGACTCACGGCAGAGAGCGGGGGTCGAGCGCTGGAACCCTGGGCTGTGTGGTCTGACTCCCATAAATGCCTTGTTGACCTCTCCGCTTCCTGACCTGGCCCCTGAATTGGCATTTGGGGCTGCGGCTGGAGTCGGAGTGGCTCTGGCAGGGGTCTTCTGGGGGCAAGGGGCAGGCAGACAGCAGTGGCCTGGGCTGCCTGGTGTGTTGTGAGGTGTGGGTAGTCCGCCCGGCTGTCTCCACTCCCCGTGGGGCCACCTCACGGCTCCTTCCACCCTGGCCACCCACTCTCCTCACTCAAGACCTGGCTTCCCAAGACCCATCACGGCCGCCCAACCTCTTGGCAACCACCTGGCCTTTCTAGAACCTTCTCGCCTCAGCCTCCGTCTCTCAGCGGGGCTTGCAGAAGGCCGATCCCTCCGCCAGGCCCCGTGGGAGCTATTGGTTGCTTGTGGGTCAGGTGACCTCTCCTGGCCAATCAGCAGGAATGTTCAACATGGCTGCCAGCGCCCAGAGCTCCCTAGAAGGGGAGTGGGCCCCGAGGTATTTCCAGTGCAGAACAGATGGCCGAGCGGGGTATGGGGGAGTCTTGGGGAGGAAGGATGATGGCAGGTAGCTTTTGGACATGGAAAGGAAGATGGAGGAGGATACAGGAAGGTGATGATCAGCCACAGTGAGGGCGGGACTTAGGCGCTCCACGCAGGCACCCAGGCATGTGCACACCTCATGCAGGCCCCTTCGGCTTTGGGCTGTGGATGCGCGGCCTATGGGGCTGGCTCAGTGCCAGCAGTCAGTAGGAAAGGCCATTGAACAGATCCATGTCTCCTCTCCCAGCTTGACTGGGAGGATCTCAGGGCACGAGCCCCTACGTATGGATGGGCACCTGGGCCAACTCCCGGCACATATGGAGTGTCTTTTAAAGACGCAGTACACGGACACTGAGTTCCTGGATCCAGACATTCCTGAAGCAGGTCTGTCCCTGCACTTGTCCATTAGAAGACCTTTCATGCTGAAGCCAACCCAGACATATTTCCATTCCCCTATTACAGCTTGTTCCTCTAGCTTCTCTTACTCCCTTTTCTTAGCTCATGCCGCTTGGCCTTCTGGTCCCAGCTGAGACTGACCTCATCCAGGAAGTCTCCCCAA